CACCTACATCCGTATAAAAGGCTCCAGACAGAGCCACAGAGCACCGCGGAACACTCCGGAAAGCCCCCCGAATGCTCTAAACGGTGAAAGAACAACCACACTGTGCACTGTGGAACATTTCGGAAAACTCCGGACCACTCCGGGAAATTCTGGCCATCTTCGGAAAAACGTGGAACATTTCAGAAAACTCTGAAAAACGACAAAACTGGCAACAGCAATCCATGGAAAACAACAGAAACCGACAAAAATCACATCATAGGAAACGCTCAACCCGTCCCCCAGACCATTCGGATTTCCAGCAACCCCCGAGATTACACCCGAGGTTATCCGCATCCCGACCCGGGGACGAGAAACAACTCTGCACTTCACAAGGAACACTCTATCCGGTGATATCCGGTGATATCACTCTATCGTCACGACCCAGAAATGACCATTTAAAAATCCTGCAATCCCGGGCGGCCTCCAGCGACCTTCGAGGTCAACTTGAAATAACCTATGTCACTCCCTGGGACATGGAGATCATCCATGCCAAACTTCAAGTTTCTAGGACCAACAGTGTGACTGTTAATTGGGAAAAAACAATCAAGCAATCAATCAGAATTGACAAATCTATATAAGGAAATGCTCAATCCGTCCCCCAGACTATTCCGACCTCAGGCGACCACCGAGGTCATCCGTACTCCCACCCTCAGAGGCGAGGATCAACTTTGTATTTCATAAGGAACACTCTATCAAACCCCCCTGACCCAGAATTGACCATTTTAAAGCCCCCGTGGCCTCAGGCGGCCTCAAGCGACCTCCGAGGCGAACTTGACATCGAACCGGACAGCTAGTATATATACTAGCTAATCTGTGGCCGTATTCTCATCTCTCCGTTAAGCTTAACGGAGTTTTTGTGAGAAAGTTCTTTTTAACTACATTAATAAAAAAAATTCTTTAACAAAATATTTTTTTAAATAAAATTGTTTTATTTTAGTCTTAGTTTTATTTAAACAAATTCAAATAAAGTTTTTGTCATTTCTTTACTTAGAAATGTTGCAATGAAATCTTTGACAAACGCTCCGTTAAGCTTAACGGAGAAATGAGAATACGGCTGCTAAACCATAAAAACTAAGTGCGCATTGAGTGCTGACGATATGTTTCTATATAATCTTTATACTGAAGATGTTTATAAGATATGTTTGTTTATAATCTTTATAAAACTTCACAATATATATACATATATATATATACATACATATATATATATATATACATATATATATATATATATATATATATATATATATATATATATATATATATATATATATATATATATATATATATATATATATATATATATATATATATATATATATATATATATATATATATATATATATATATATATATATATATATTTATTAGTGGCGTATTAAGACTTTTGGGGCCCGGGGATATTTTATTTTTGGGGGCATTTTTATGGGCTAGAACCTAAAATTGACTAAAACAAAAAAAAAGGAAAAATCTGAAATTTTTGGGGCCCCCTTAAATTGCGGGGTCCGGAGCTATAGCTCCCCTTGATCCGGCGTTGATATATATATTTGCCTACACCCGTATTTTACGGATCCGGACAGCTAATATATATATATATATATATATATATATATATATATATATATATATATATATATATATATATATATATATATATACATACTTTTAGTAATTTTAGAAACTCTAAACCCATTGGGAATTTCGCTATATATGCGGTGTCAAATTAGTTTCTTCACACTGGCAAAGATTGCAGTCAATTAGAATCAGTGCTGTGGAGTCTGAGTCGAAGCTGCAAAGTAGCAACATTTTTAGCGGAGTCGGAGTCGCTAAACAAACTTGCGTCTCCGACTCCAATAGTAAAACTTTTCGGTATTGCACGTGCATGCACAAATTATTCAATTGACCTTATGTTCATACTAAACCTCAAAGAACTTTTCATAAATTTTGCAAAAAAAAAAAATTTTCAACTTATTGCATAATACTTTTTAAAGAAATTCTCAAAAATTTGCTTTAGAGTCGGAATCGGAGTTGGAGTCGGAGTCCTATTCTAAAAATTTCAGCGGTTGGAATCAGATTTGGAGTTTTTTTTACAACTCCGCACCTCTGAATGATACTTTTAGCTGATTTTTTTCCAATTTATAGTAAAAAGATAGATCTACGCAATAAGCAGATAATTTTTGCAAGCAGCTTTTCTGTCAGGTGGTAGGCCTGTTTAAATTTGGCAAACATTTTAAGCGCAAAAATGATAAAATTTTTCTTTAACTTATTTAGTTTAAAATTTTTTTTTTAAAAGTTGTCAGTTCATTTCTGTTCATTTATTTTCTGAAGGAAGTAAGCTAGGCATGTTCATATGTAATAGATGTACGAAACTATTCAAACTCAAGTCGTAAAATCTTTTGATAAGCTGAAGCTTAAAAACCAACCTGACCAAGCCAGTCAAAGAATTACCCCAATTCCAGTTGCAAGGATTTGCAAATTGCAAAAAGTTGCAAATTGCAAAAAGTTGCATGTGATCAAACTTGAATAAATACAGATGTAAAATTTTAGTTTAAGTTTACTACTCTTATAACTTTACTTATTTACTTAAAAAGAACATTAGATAGTAGTTAAAAAGAAGAAGCTGAAGTATGGTTAAATTAAGTCTATCCCAAGTTTATGCCTGGCTACAATGCATTTAAACTAAAAGATGCTAATTGTTTCCCAACATATTTATTTAATGATAGTGTAAAAAGCACATATTCAGCAACAATAGTGGAGACTTATAAAAACGAAGGAATCCAAGACTTCCAAATTGCAAGCAAATTTTGCAAGATTACGGCAGCTGTACACTTGTCCAGCTAATATTGAATTTATTGGAAGATTTTTCTTATCTTTTGGTATTGTTTGGAGCAAAATTAGACATTTAAGATCTAGATGGACATTTGCTGATGACTAAGTTGATAGATAACTTTGTTTTAAATGTTTAAGTTTTAATATTACTGCTCTATGTTAAATAAAGTTCTCATTTATGACTCACTTAATTCCTCATTTTATTATAATTAGAAAAATTGCTGAGCAGCATCAAATTTTGATTGTTAATGGATATTAATTTATGAATAGAAAATTATAAATAAAAAAAATTTAAGACCAAAAACCCTTTTAATGGGATTTTGCTCTTGGATTTTCAGGTGGGTTTTTGGGTACCAATCCTGCTATAATTACTAGATTAGAAAAATAGAACTCTTATGTGATTTGATAATAATAATGACAATCCGTTAAGGAATAACGATTTATGATATAAAACCGTTTAAAGATTAAAACCGTTAGTTTATAACCATTTGATATTAAGGATGTAAACATTTAAAAAAATGTTATGTCAAAAAAAATATTGTTTTAGCAATGAAAGTGTTTAGCATTTAATAGCTTCATAGAGTTCAAGAAATAAAAATGGCTGTTGAGCTAGAGCTAATTTGGTTTGATTCTCCAAAGTTGATACCTAAATCCATCAATATTTTTCCTTATTACGATTTGATAAAAAGATTTAAAGAGGTGCTATTAAAAACGCCAGCAAATGAAGAAATTTCCAAGTATGGAATGACACCTTCCACCACACTTTGACTGAGTTATATTATTGTTCAAGATGGCTCTTATCAGATCATATGCTGTTCCCAATTTGTTTAAAGTTTTAAGAATTTACTATTACATTGAATTTTCTGTAGAAGTCATGTATTAAGTTCATGTTGTTGTTTTTAATATTGGGAAGATCCATGATAATTAATTGTTTAGTCCTTCGATGCATATTTTTGTATATTTTTTTAAATATTATAATAACGATGAAAATAAATGTTTGGATCTGTCAAATACACCACACGTAGAAATTGGCTAGTTGATGATAGTTTTACAATTCCTTGGTAATATCTTAAAGTATAAATTATAACAAACAATTCAGAGCATTTAATCTAAACTGTTAAAATGACGTTTAATTTTAATTCATTTATGAAGATAACAAGAATTTAAGAAAAGAACCATACTGCTGCAGTGGTTTTACATTAGTAAGGAAAGAAACTACTAAGAAAGTACTTTTTTGACTTTACAAAGTGAATAAGTTATTCTTATTAACAGAATAATGGCAGAATATCTAATGTTTTAATCTCATTATAATCTATAAAAGTTTAAAAGATTTTATGTTTTTTAAATAACCAGTTATAGGTTTAACTAATATATCTTCTGAATTAATAAGTTAAATTTAAATAAATTGAGTTGATTAATACCCTTTTTTAAATAATTTTAGAAGTAATTAGTTTGATATTATCATGTTAGAATACAACAAAAACTTGAAAAACTTGAAATTGAAATATTCAAATCTTGTCATAAATAAATATTTGTAATAAATAAAGTTGTTTATAACAAAATTGTAAAGTTGGATAAAAGTTTGCGATAAAACTTTCATATGAAAGATTTTTTTTAAAAATCTTTAAAAAATATTCGAATGATTTTCATGCTTCGAACTAAGATAGAACTCTCACCAAAAAGAGCATTTTTAGCAATTTCTGTTTCTTTATTTAAATAAAGAAAATAAGTGTTAATAAATATTTAATAATACTTATCTAGAACAATATTATATGCAATCTATAAGCTTATAGATTTTCATCTAAATAATACTGTGTTACAAGATATAATACGATTCTAAAAATAGGGTTGTGTGTATGTGTGTGTGTGTGTGTTTGTGTGTGTGTGTGTCTGTGTGTGTGTGTGTGCGTGTGTGTGTGTGTGTGTATTTAAATTGTATTTATATTACAGGAAAAAAATAAATCAATGAAAAAAAAGTTTATTTATTAATATTTTTTTTTACGATTGTAAAGATTATATTTTAAAACAATTAAAACAAAAAATGAATCCCACTATCTTTTATTTTAAATGATGTTTTGTTTTATCTATTAAAAAAAAAATAATTTTTTAAACGACAACATTAAAAAACTTACATATTTTCATCAATCATTTTATTAATTTATTGAAATGGTGAAATAACTTGATGCAACACGCTTTAACTGCACTGCACAAAGTTTGATACTATGGTGGATTTCCAGCCTTTTATAGGGCTCATTTTTGCCTCGTTTGTACCCATTCTTTTTTCTAATAATTGAGTTAAATGAGTCCTTAAAAAAGGGTAAAATATAGTTAGCTTAGATAGGTATTTGTGTCTATAATTACTCTTTTTATGGTATTCATAAAAGATATTCTCAATTGGTGCCCATTAAAAGGAAAATTTTGAAAAGAGGTTATTTTATTTTACTTTACGTCATTGGATTAAGTATTTCGTAATTTTATTTTATTTAATGCTGTCTTATAAGCATGAGTTTATTAAAAAATACCACGAACATATCTATAACACACAAAAGCACACCCATTTATTTTTTATCTTAAGTATATGCTACTCAAACTATAAATAAACTACATTTAAAACAAGATTTATCCGTTTAAATGTTATTTAATTATAAAAGTAAAATAAATAAAAAATTTGAAAAAATTTAAAACACTGTTTCTTCAATAATATTGTTTGAAACTCCTTAATTTGTTGTTTATAGCTTCGTTACGTTGATTTCATTCATTATATTATTAATAGAATGGAAAAATATTTCAAAATTTAATTATGGAACACAATATTCATAAAATAATAAATTTACACATCAAAAAACATTAAAAAAATTGTTTTATATAAACTTTTTAACAGCTACATTTTATCGTTGCACAATAAACATACTTAGCAGGAAAAAAAATTATATTTTGTTTATGATAATGTAAGTTTATCTTCGTCTTAAAGCGTTCTGCATATTTCTATATATATATATATATATATATATATATATATATATATATATATATATATATATATATATATATATATATATATATATATATATATATATATATATATATATATATATATATATATATATATATATATATATATATATATATATATATATATATATATATATATATATATATATATATATATATATATTCAGTTTTGTATTTACTAGTCGTAATACAGTAAAATCCGTGAATATATTTAAAGTGTTTTTAATTTCATTAGGAGAATATAATCACCATATTAAAAAAAAAAAAAAAGCCTGAATAACTTAAATAAAAAACTAATATCTTATAGAAGATCCTGACGACAAAATTAAATTTGTCGCCAGGACCATATAATGTTATATTAATTAAAATATAGTTTAAGCCATTAATAAATAAACATTATTTTAAACAAAAATAAAACAAACAAAAAAATAACATTTGCATTCAATTTTTCTTATTTTCAAAAACACTTAAAAATTTTTAAAAACAGGTGTAGAAACTAATAAACTGAAATTAGGTAAAACGATTTTTTTTTCAAAAAGTTGGGTGCATAATAGGCAATTTAAAACTGATTGAACTTTGGTTGACAAAAGGATTCGTTTAAAAAATTATTATTTCTTAGTGAATACTTATTTTTTGTTTTTAGGGTAAAATTAAAAGTTTTTTGGAATAAACCGATTTTACATTTAGTATAAATTTTTATATAAATTCATTTCATAAACATCAAGTGCTTTAATATCTTTAATTAATAAACTAGTATCCAAAAAATGATTTTCAAAATAAATAAAGCGTATTGCGTGATAAAGAGCACGCAACTTGGTTTCCACTCCCTTAAGCATAACTTGAGTAATATAACCTCGTATAAATGAGTGATAGAGTTGGATTAGAATACTTTTGTTCAAAAAAAATCCTTTACTTAATAGCATTTCTATATTTAAAGAAACTTTTAAAATAACTGACTTTATACTTTAACTAACTTTATACTTTAACTTTCTTATAAACAGTTTAAGCTAGTTTTTTCTTTAATTTTTCAAAACTCTTAAATGAAGAACGCACGAAGACAAAGCTCAGAAATTAATATTGAAGTAAAAACCTTAATCAATGATCTTGTAATTAATGAAGAGAAAAGTGTATAAGAAAAATCAGAACTCGTGCATAGAAGCGAGACCTGATTTTTCAATATATATCAACAGGCAATAATATTCCTGGTGTTAGAAGTAGTTTTCAACAGTCAGGTTGTACTGAAGAAATAAGAGATAGACTACATGAATTAACTGGAGTATCAGAAACTATAATCTATAAGAGATAGAGGTAGAGCTGGAAATTAATGCCAAATCTCTACAATATAGTGATGGTTAAAAAAATTGAAATATACATATAAAATCTTAGACCCATTAGTGAAAGACGCAATAATGCAGAGGTAAAATAAAATAGAAATGCATTTGTTTAATAGTATCTAAACTTGAAATTGCAACAACGTTATAGAAAGATCATTTATATTGATAAAAGGACTTTGATTAGTATAAATGATATATCTGTAACGTTGTTCAAACTTCATATGATAAGAAACAACGGATGCAGCTCCCGAGGAACAACTCTAAATCAACGTGCATCTAGAGACAGTAACATAACCATGGTTTTAGCTTTGAATTGATTAAACACACTCCACTGTCACCCCTACATCAACTATTATGAAACAATAATTGGTGTAAAGTTGACAGCATAATTAAAACGAAATAAAAAACTTATTAAAAAATTATTTTTTATTGCCTATATAATTTACGCATTTAAGTCTAATAAATTAGACTTAAATGCGTTTCCAAGAATCACTTCCTTTCAACAACTAAAAACAAAACGACTGATAAATGATATAATAATAAATGATATAATAAATAAAATGAATAATAAACGATAAATGATATAATAAATAAAATGAATAATAAACGAGTTTCGGGTACGCTATTTTAATTCATGAAAGTCAAAAAGCTCTTATCGCGACAATCTACCTTCTTTAATGCCAACAAATCAATGGACTCCGATGTTTTAAAAATTTTTGAAGGTCACATTGATACAGTTAAAAAATACGAGTTGCTGGTCTCTCGTTATGAAAGCCCTGCTGTAAGAACTTGTTTTGTAAGTTTTACAAACAGTGTAACTTCTTATTGTAAACTCTAGTATAATTATGTAACAGTAGGTATTCATCTTTGCAATAATCAAGAGGTTTAATAGCTAAATATTTATTTTCTATTTTAGATGCGTTTTTGCTTAATTTAGTTACATTTGCTAAAGAAAATGGAACAGAGCTGATAAAAACCACTGCATATTAGGGAGATGCAAAAAGCATGACCATCTCAGATTTTTTGAGAAACCCCTTTATTTGTTTTAAGTTGTTACAAAAACATTCTGTGCAAATTTTAGGTCAAAATAATATTTAGAAGTGTGCGCTGGCCAATCGGAAATTTATATATTTAAAAAAAAATTGAGTAAAATGATGTTTTATGAGTTTGTTATTACACAATTACTAATAGGCCAACAGGTTTGTAGATTAACTCTTGTTGATAATTTTCTATTGTTTAGTTTGAGCCATAGGGATGACAAGATCTAATTAGATTCAACCCCTTAGGCCCTGTAATGTTTTGTATTCTTACTTATATGAAAGAGAATTAACGATGGTTTTTGTTTAGAAATATTTATAAAACTATATATTTAATTGTTACAATTAGTTATATATAAACTGTGTGTAGTCTTCTCATGTCGTTATTCCAACTCCTATTGAGTTCAGCGCTATGGCTTTTAAGTAAGAACTCCTCGTGCGGAAATAATTTTTCAAGGGAATACTTTCAAAATCAGTTTTTATGTAATTCTTTAAAGAGAATTGCTTATTCCTCAATCGCTAATCGTTATTCTGAGCGAGCATTAGAAATAATTATCCAGAGGGAAGTGTTTTCGTAACAATTATTATAGCCCGTTACATTTAAAATTAGTAACGTTTTAAAAATACTTGCTGTTTAATAATTGTGATATAAAATGGAAACAAGAAGTACAACAGATATTTGATAGATCAACACATAAATAAATTGAATCCAACTTGTCTACCATTAAAAAGAGAAGTAATCTCTTTATTGATGCATTTTTAAAGTATCTGTAAAGAAACTGATAGAGAAGCATTAACTTCTATTATTAATGATGTATTAGAGATGTAGAAGAGAGCAGAAAATTGTTAAAGAAAAGCAAAGGAAAAAATCAAAGTTTCCCTTAGAAAAAGTGAATAAATGGAATAAAAAACTGGATACACTATTTGATATAGTGCATACAAATGCAAATGAGTTAATAACTATTGAGGAAGATAGAGATTTTTTAAAGTTACAAAGAGAAGGTCGAAAGGGAAAAATGGTGGGAGTTGATAAGAATGAAGAAAAACGTCAAACTAAATTGGCAAAGAAACAGAAAAAATGAAAAGATCACGTGAATCCTATTCATTAGATAAAACAGTAATTCTTGAAAGCAGCAATAGCTCCTGCAGTAATTCACCTGCATCTACAGAAGATCAATTAAATCTTGAATAGGAATCAACATTGAAAAGAGGCACTTCAAGAAAAAAAATAGATTATGTGTGAAGACCTGCTTTCCTCAATGGATGTTGCCAAGATCAGTGACCGATCAGCCTCTTTAATAATAATTCCAACAACCGCAAATCTGGGAGAAGATCAAAGTAATAATTATGTGAGCTATTCATCGATACAAAGGACTAGACAAAAATCAAAAAAAAAGTTTAGTGAAAATTCGAAAGAGACATAAAACTGACAAACCATTGTTTGATCATTGGGATAGAAAACTACTTTAAGACATTGTTGGGAATGAGGTTGTAGATTGGTTGCCAGTCCTAAAATCTGGCAGTGGAGATGATCAATTGCTTAGAGTGCCAAAAGATCATAGGGCCAGATTGGAGATTGCAAATGCAGTACATCAGTTGTTTATTGAATGGAATCTGACAGATAATGTAAAAGTTATGTGCTTTGACACAACTTCACCAAATTCCGATTGTAAAAACAGAGCTTCTGTTTTATTTAAGCAAAATACGAAAAAGGATTTGTTATGGTGTCCATGTCATCATCATATTCTTGAAATCGTCTTGCATATACCCAACATTTTCAGCTTCATCAGTCCCTGATATTTTCTTATTTAAAAGATAAAAAAAAATTGGAATAGTTTTAGTCAAACTTCATTCGATAAATAAGACAATTATCCATAAAAGAAAAAGAAGTAGTTATACAATTTGCAATAAAAAACTCAAAGAAGATCAACCTCGCGACGGTTACAAAGAATTATTGGAACTTTTAATTATATTGCTTATTGGAACTCCAAAAGCT